ATTTTATTGAAATCAGCGTTTTACAAGAACTGTCTTCTCCATCTACCAAAGATTACATGGAAACTTTTTTCCAAAATCATAAAAAGCAAGAGATTTGTTTTCATAGTAAAATCATTAAATAAATTATATATAAATATTGTGAGATTAAAAAATTTAGGTACCTCCATTAATTCGCGATACCTAAGGTTTAAAAAGATTTTTTTAAAATAATAATAATAAAAAAGAAACTTTCTTGAAGATCTCTTTTTAGCTTTAATTGAAAGCTAAAGGATTTTACTATTTCCAGTAAGCAAAATATTCTGTATTTTAAACAGGGATTGTATTGATTGGAATCGATTTTCTTTTTTTTTTTTTTTTTTTTTTAAGTCGTTTTTCATCTTTATTTAAAAAAACAAAAACAAAAAGGGGACCAAGAATTGTCAGAAACATAAGTTTCAAATCAATATATCTGACGATTCTTGAGCCTTTCAAAAATAACCCCTACCACTCAAAGCACACGCGCACAACCTATATTTACTTATTACCTGTTTCTATGTTTTTTTTAATGTCCCAATCCCCCCCACCTCTCTCTTTCTCTCTTGAGAGAGCGCGCTCGTACGTCTGGTGGTGGTGGTGGTGGGGGGGAAAACTGTACTGTAGTCGTTTCCACTTGTATAGTGGTCATATCTTATTCTTAATACTAGCGATGCATTACACAGAAGTTGTGTAAGAGTAAGGACAAGAGAGAAAGACATTATTACCGTCTCCGTCTTCCACCTTTCTATAAGCGACCGTCAACCTTGGATTGGCCACCTAAATACACTACCCCCCAGACATTTCTACGCGTACTGTGTGTAGTCTACGTCTCTCTCTTTTTTTTTTTTTTTTTTTTTTTTGTTGTCTGACACATAGTTTTTGTTTTGTTTTTTTGTTTCTTCTTTGCTCTGCCTTGTTCAATTTAGAAAAAAAAATCGTCTTTCTTATATGTTTTTAGTTAGTATGTCGGTAGTAGGGATATTGTGCCTTTTCTACCTATCGGAACCGTGTTTGACAAGGACGATAGCACATGTCTCTTTCTGTTCATCTGCTGTATTTTTTTTTTTTTTATGACATCATTTTTTTGCATGTGGATTTGATGAGTGCGAACTGCGAAGGAAAGAGAAAAAATAATTTAAAGTACCTCCTTGCGTGCTCTTTTTCATTAAAAAAAAAAAAAATTAAAAAAAATAGAAAATCGACGGCCTTTTAAGCCAACCGATGGTGGGAGATGTTTGATTTTTGAAGAGCCTTTCTTTCCTGAGCGAAATTGACAAGCCGCGTAGAAATTTTCAAATCCTTTCGGTTTCTTGATAAATTGTGGAAGAAATGCCAACAGTTAAAGAACGAACTCATTTGAGTTGTCGTTTTAAAAACGTGTTTTGTTTTAGCGCTAAAAATCGTTTTTTTTTCTTTTCTTTCTTTTCTTTCTCTCTGATAGTCGTTTTGTTAGCAAATACAACATGCAGAACAACTTTTTCTTACCTGGTATATTTAAAAAAAAACAGTGACATGCCCTAACAAGAGTTAAGAAAAGACAGTTTCAAATTTACAATTTTATGAATTTTTAAGTTTTCCTGATAAATTTTGCACTTTTCGAATTTAAAATATTGAAACAATGTTTGAAGTTTGTTTGACTTATTTAAATAATTTAATATTTTAATACATTTCTGGATACCATTCTTCAAGTAAAATTAATCGACGTAACCCTATGGAATGTGAAATTTTAAACTAGCTAATTCTTGGTGGAAAAAGTGTCTTTGGTATTTAACTTTTGATTTTTGAATGGCTTTTTTTTTCTTTTTAAGGCCAAACGAAGTCTACAAGTTAAAAAACTCTAAGTCGATAGCCTCTCTAAGTAAATTTCTAAAAAGTAAAAAATCAAACTATGACAGATGGCTTTTTAGTTTAGATTGCAATAATTATAAAAAGAAAAGAAATATGAAGATAAGTAACTAAAATTTATTTATTTTATTTTTTTGAAGTCTGTACATTTGAGTTAGAGATTAAGGATTTAAACATGTCTTAACAGGCAATTTATACCCCCCCTCTTTGGAAGATACATTCAACTATATATAGGAAAAAAAAATAGAGACTAGGGTGGAAAGAGTTTTTTCCCCCTTATATTTCTCTCCCCTTCATTACCCAAGATTGAGAGGAATAGTAATAGAATAACAAGTGTTTGCGCCCCCCCCTCATTTCTTTTCTTTTTCTGTCTATCCCTTTTCCTGTCTATCCCTTTTCCTAGCCAACTTTTTATTTTTTTTTTTTTATTTTAAAGGAAGGGGGAGGTTGACAGGAGTGTGTGTGTGTGTGTGTTGTTTTTTAGTTGTTTTTTTTTTTTATTGTTATTTTTGTAGATGTTTTCTCTCCCTTGTCTGTCCAGACTGAAGTGAGTTTCTTGCTATCCCTTCTCTCTCTCTCAATCTATTCACTTCACTGAAATCTGCCCTCCCTTCAGTCTGTCTGCTTGCTGGCATCTCCTTTAAACCCACGTGCATTGTCTAGTGACTCCAGAACAATTCTTTTTGTATTTCTCTCTTGTGGGGTTACAGCCCCTGTTCCTTATTCCCTTTCCAATTGTGTTGGCATTCAGTGGGATACAGCCAACAAAGGTCGGTTGAAAAAGGTCTTGAAGTAGTGATTATGGATGTTTTAGCAGCAAATGCCCAGCTTCCTGCTTCAAACAACGGGCACATTTGAGAAAATCTGACCATTTGGGTCAAGAAGTCCAGTTCCTCTTATTCTCCCCACCTGACATATTTCAAATCTCTGTTCATTAGTGACCAAGAATCCACAAACTTTGTAGATACAATGATTTATCTAGTTGATAAAAAAAACAGCAGATATTTTTTCTGTCACGAGATGTCATTTTTCTCGTGAAGTATATTTAAAAAAAAAAAAAAAAAAAACAGGTAAAAAGGTAATTGTAATTTTAGGATCAATAAATCTGGAGCCGGATATGTAATCATTGAATTTTGATTTGAAATTTCCGTTTGATCTAAGCAGCATTTATTACTGAACTAAAAGGACATTGATTAGGGAAGAGAATGTTTTAAATTTGTAATCTTTTTTTCATTGTTATTAAGCTTTGAAATTATTGAAAAAGCACAAATTTCTAATTGGTTTCTTTACATGACAAATTTAGCAATAGCTAATGATGGTCATAGACCTCATTTTTTTTTTCTTTTAAAAAACTGACATTTTTTTTTTCTTTTTCAGAACTTTTTTCTTTTTCATATATGATCTAGCCTTGTGAATATAGTTGTATTTATGTGGGGAGATGTTTCAAAATCAAACCGTCATGTGTGGGTGAAGGGAGAGACAACAAAAGACTGGAGGTCATAGTGAATCACCACTGTTGAATTATCTTTACCCTGCACAATTCTAGAATCTCCTTTAGGGTATATAGTCTGTTTCTGGTATTCAGTTTGAAATCTTGGATATTTGAAAAATTTACAAGAAATTATAATAAAATAAAGCCCACTGATTTTCTCTGAATGACGGAAATACAGATTTTCTGCCATGACCCCCCCCCACTTATTTTTTTATTGCATTTCTGAAAAGTTCAGCAAATCATTTAAGAGAAAAGTTAAAAATTGTTTTCATGATAAAGAGTGAAATAAATGTGTTATGAAAATAATTTCCAGCTTTCAAAAAATTACAATTTATTTGTTATTTTTCAAGTTATGGGCACATGCCATAACTTTATTCCTATCTCATGGTAGTACTATAAAGAATACTTTGGTAACGAGGCCAGTGCAAAGGTGTTGTAGCCTCCCAAATCCATGATATGCACCACCCACCTACTATATCTCAATTTTAATAAGGTTGTATTTATATAAAATACAAATTTTATTGTAACCTAATCATGTACAATAATTGTTCACATATAGGTGAACAATTCAACTAGAAAAATTGAAAATAAATGCAAATTACAAATTAGAGACAAGTCATTATAGATCATTCCATCTTAAATAAATCAATGTTTTACGGCATTTTTTGATGTCAACTTGAGATTCTTCTTGTTAAAAAGTTAAAGAATTTTAATATATTCAACATTATGGATAAAAAGATAATGAATTTTATATTGTGTTTTTCAAGGCTTAGCATGAACAAAACAAAATCACGGATTTGGACAAAAATAAAAAAAAATCAGACAGAATATGAAAATTTTTCATCCTTTAATAGTCAGTTGTGCTTAGTTTAATTTGTAATGTAGGTAGAAAAAAAAAACAAAGCTTAAGATAGATAAAGTGTCTGCTGAAGGTTACAAAGCACTGCCATTGGCTCCCAAACCCCTGGTAGAGGGGTTTGGGGTTAGTATTTTGGAGAAAAAGTTAGCAATGTCTCAGTACCTTGGTCTGTCAAATCAAGAAATATATGAAAGTTTCTTTCATTATAGATTCTATATAATTATTTTTCATCCCATTGCTTTGTTCTATGAAATTTAAACCTGCATTTTATCACAGTTTGCAAATCCTCAATGTGTTTGTAAGTGTTGGATTGTTTTGGGATATAAAATGGCATTATTGATAATTCAATAATATAAAAGATTTTATTTTGGAATGCTCTGATCTCTTGTGCATCCGTATTAATATTTTTTTTTTTTTTTTTTTAAGTTGGAAATGTGATAACTGTTTGGATTGTGCATGTATAGTAATTAGTAAATATGTAATTTATTTTTACTTATAGTATTTTGTAATTTCAAGTCAAAAGTTGAATGTGAAATTTCAGACTATAAGGACTCAATTGGTGTGAGTGTGTGTGTGTGTGTGTGCAAGTGGATGTATGTATCAGAGGTATTGTTCGGGGGGTTTGTAATGTATCGGTGGGGGTACATTCTTGTCTGTTGCTTAATGACCTACTACTGCCATTGGAGTCTAGTGGTGAAATTAATTTCTTTTTTTTTTTTTTTTTTTTTGTAATTTTTGTTGTTGTTGTTGTTGTTGTTTAAAGCATTTTCTTTATTTATTTAAATTTAGCTCCCCAAAAAGATGAGCGAAGGACAGGACTTCAAAGCTGATGGCTATGGAGACATGGTTATTGAAAATCTTAACCATCTTCGAACAAATAGTGAATTGTGTGACTTTAAAGTGTCTGCTGAAGGTAAAGTTTTTGAGGTAAGAATAGTGGTTAGTTATCACTTCTGATTCCCTTCTGCTTTGCGTATTCTGATTGAGTGGACAGGAATTTGGAGATGATTCATCATTAGAATAATTAACAGAATTTTATAAAAATTCTATAGTCTTTGCACATTTTAATTTATAAATAGTTTAATATTTATATTTTTTTTAAAACTTATTTATAATGGTTCAATCAAAAAAATAATTTCCTTTTTAATGTACTTAAATATTAGTGCTCACCCCACAAAAACTTGTTCAATTTTTAATATTTTAATTTATTTTTTATATTTAAATATATACATATTTTAATTCTTAATTAGGCATTTAGTATTCTGTTTTATTTTCATTTTAAAATCTTTTGTGAATTTTTAAATTTCTTTTTAAAAGCTTTAAAATATTTTTTCTTAAAGATTTTCTTTAAACTTTTTCTCAATTTTTTTTTTTTTTTTTTTTTTTTTTTTTCAGGTGCATAAGGCGTTGTTGGCGGCGACAAGTGACTACTTTCGTGTCATGTTCCGTGGCATGATGGCTGAAAGCAAGCAAGACACAGTGGATTTGAAAGGTGTCACTGCAGATGGACTGCAACAAGTGATCGATTTTATTTACACAGGCAAGATGTCTCTTCACTATGACAATCTGACAGAAATCATCAACACTGCAAGCCACTTACAAGTGTCATGTGCGCTCGATTTATGCAGCAATTACATCAAATCCCTGATGACATTTGATAATGCTGATGATTTTTTAAACATTGCTGATACGTACTCACTTGAGAAGGTTTTGCTTCATTGGGATGATATGATCTTGAGTAACTTTCATGAGTTTAGCAACAGCCAGGCATTTCTTAAACTGAGTGCCCCAAACCTTGTTAAGTACCTTTCGTCCAATTTACTTTGCACGGTGTCCGAATATCGACTTTACCAATGTCTGGAGAAATGGTTGACTGCAAATCCGTCACGCATTGCCAACGACAGTGCAGTCCTCTTGCCACACTTTCGTTTTGCTCTGATGTCGCTCATTGAACTCACATCCATCAAAGACAGTGAAATCTTTCAGAAGATAAATGGGGGCACGCAGTATATTGCCAAGGGCTTCCAGTACATCATCGACTGCAAGCAGGGGCATCCTGTTATTGATGAATCGTCCACGATAAGGGCCAATTCTCCATGTCTTGTGCTCGTACACCACGGCACAGCCTACATGCCTTTTCAAGTCACCGCTTACAACCCTAAGACCCACAAATTCTACAGACTTTTTTCTGATGTCAATGGTAGCAGAGACTGCCGCATTGCTGTAATAGATAATTTTGCATACATCTGCAGAGTTGTAGATTTTGGTGGCGGCACACTGATGAGTTCACTGTTTCGATTTGATCCGAGGCATCTTGTTGGGCAGGAGTTGCACCCGATGAAGCAGTTACGTTTGGATTTTGCTTTAGTAGCTTATAAACACTGCCTGTATGTATTTGGTGGCTCCACCGAGCAATTTGCTATTCTTGACTCGGTTGAGTGCTACAATGTGAAAACCAATATGTGGGAGGAGCTGCTGTACCTGCCAAATCCGGTCCACTCTTTGGCAGCCACTGTCCATGATGGCCGGATATATTTGTCTGGTGGAGTGATTGGCCAGGAGAGGCAGGCCACAAACAGCTTCATGTGTTATAATGTCATGTCCCGCAGGTATGAAGTCAAGCCTGGTATGTTCTATGCACGCAGATTACATGACATGGTTGCATTTCAGGGAAAGATCTACGTCCATGGTGGAATTCCACGGCAAGGAATTCCACTCCATGGCCAAATTCCAATAGAATACTTTGATTTGGAAACGGAGCTGTGGACAATTCTGACATCCTCTACATTGAGTGGTCGGTCAGTTGGGCATTATATTGTATTTGAGGAACAAATTTTGTGCTTGGGTCATGAGCACCACCGTGCTACAGAAGATGAAATCTGGATTTATGATACAAATTTAGATGACTGGGTCAAATATACAAAGGCTCCTCAAAGAATGAGCCTGACAACGGCCATTTGCATTCAGATGTATATAAACTTTAATGAGGAAAAAGTTGCCAAGATGCTGTTAAAAGATAAATAATGAGTAATTATTACTACTGTATGTACATATAACGCCTACATTGCAAACGTACATTACATACTTACATTAAATTGCATACCTCTTTTAGTTCAAAGATACCTCATGTAATTGGACAGTTTTGACAATTTTAAAGACTTTTAATGTCTTCGGTTTTTCTTGATCTTTTTTTATTTACATTTTAAATAACAAAAAAAAAAAAAATCTTTTAGTCAGATCTTCCTTCCCACCCGACCTATCCAATTATTTTTTTAATTTTGTAAGAGTTCTTTGTCAAGAGACCAGTGCAAAATGCTTCAATTATAAATTACTCATTATATATAATTAATACCGATTATTTAAATTGTAGAAGAAAATGGTTCAAAATTATTCGCAACAGTTTTTGCTCAACCAATTTTCAGTTATAAGGTAAAAATGTGATTGTCAACATTAAGCAAAAAAAAGAAGTCTTGTGTATATTTTATGGTTGGAGATTTGGCTGATCAAAATGTTAATCAGTTATATTTCTTTTCCTTAAGTGTAAATTTTCACACTTAATATTTACTTGGCATATCGACTTATGACTGATATTTTGAAATTTACTTTGTTATAAATTGCATTTTTCTTTCAGTAAAATTTGTAATTGATTCCTTGAAATCTCATTACTGAACTTCTTTGTTAAAATTAAAGTTGTTAAAAGTTTTCTTCAATTATGGTTGTTTTTTATGAAAACTCTGAGGCATTTTGCACTGGACAGTTTCATTACCACTTCTAAAGAGAACAGGTTTACAGTATCTGGCATCTGCTGACACATTACAGAATTTTTGCTATCCCTGTTCAGATTTCTGGCTGGCCACTCAATATTTCCATGGTTTTTATTTTCTGTCACACTTTCATTTTCTTTATCAGACAAATTTAAGTACCATTTTGATGATTCCTGTCTAATTCCTCACGTACATTTAATAAGTCTGAGTGTGTGGATTCATCTGTTTGTATTTCTATATTAAGTCAAATTGTGGATTTTTTTTTTCCTGTGTATTTAGTTTTCTTAGAGTTAATTTATTTGTTAGTTGATTTTGAATCATGGAATAATTTAAATTCTATTAATTTAGGGATGATGAGATTTAAATCACTGTTTGGAATTGATTTGTCAAAAGCCGTTTAGATTATTTGGAATATTAAGGTAGGGAGTTTGTTTGGAACTGCTGCTTAAAAGTGACTAGCAAAGAAAAGAATCTATTGAAACATAATATATTTATTTGTATATACTTTAAACTTCACTTTCCTAGAATGAAAAGTAATTAACCCCTTCTCTGCCAGTTATGTTGGGGGGAAAAAAGTTTCATTTTCAGATGAATATTTTTATTTGTTTTTAATATAGTAACTAAGAAACTGAGGCACCTTAAAGTACACAATTGGCGGCTAACACCATTACCAGTGGTCTGAGTTGACAATTGGACTCGTTTCAACCTCAGAAGAGAATCAAGATTGAAATATAAACACGTCTGTAGCTGGTTTTTGAACATTGTTTTGGATGTGTTTATTCGTCTATTACTTTCGGTAAAAACGTATATACATGTCTACCCTGAGGAAGGGGTTAATAACTCATATAGTATCATTTGACTTGAGAGATAAAAATAATAGAATTTGCTTTTTATACAAGATTTTAATACATAAATTGGCTTAGTGGAGAATGTTTCAGTTACCAAAAGAGAGAATATTAAAATGGAATTATATATTTTTTTTTTTTTTTTTTTTTTTTTAGTTGTTCAAAATGTAAAAGAATTGTAAAACAATTCTTATATTCACTGATTGCTTAAAAAATAGGGAAATGAATGTAGAAATTGAAAGCTTATAAACATTTGATCTGTAAGCTTTACAAATTCTTCAGAATTAAAAGAAATTGTAACTTACCTATTTAATAAATCTGGGTTTTCTTAGAGCTTTTGAAAATACTAACACTTCAATGTTAGTAATGTCCACCCATTTGCAAGTTCGCACATACTTAGAATAAATATATATATATATATATATATATATATATATATATATATATATATACTCACACTCTTAGGTGACTGGGGGAGAGTTTCAATTGATTTTGTTTCTGTAAAATCTCATCTCCCTATATTTACAATTGTTGGATCAGTCTCTCTCTCTTTTCCACCTCCTCCCTCTAATGATTCCATTTTAATCAAGAATTGCACTTGAAACTGCAAGTGTCATATTCTGTTGTATTTTCTTTCATAAACTAAGAAAAATGAAGTGGGTCAGCCCTGAAAAGCTGTGCTCTTTTTGTTACCTTGTTGGACTAAAGACATTCCTAGTATTTTTTATGATGCAAAATTAAAAAGCCTTACAAATTCTAAAATTTACATCTTTTTCATGAGAGTAAAATTATTTTGTTACAATTTTTTTTCTCTCTTACCCAATTAATTAGCAGCAACAATTCAGTTAGTAAATGTGACTTGAAGGCATCAGATTTTGCCAGTTCTTTTACCAAGTATCTGTTTAAGATTGGCTCAATGGATTCCGTCTTGATTGTTGTACTTGTTCATAAAAATGAAAATATACCTAACTAAAACAAGTCAGCAAATTTTTAAACTTTCTTCTACTGGATCGTAATTTTTAATTGGTCAAAACAAAAAAATAAACTCTTGAAATTATTTGACTGAATGATTTGTTACTGAAATATAATTATTTTAAGGCAATTTAATTCCTTCCACCAAGAGCTGAGCAAATATCTTCCAATTCTTTTGATTGGTATTCTGTAGACTTTTGATCTATATATCACAAAAAATGCTATGATAACATGAATTGTTCTAATGACTTGTTCAAAAAATCTTTTGCATGCATTTATATAGGCATCTCTTGGATCTGGTGAGAATGAAGTAATTGCTTTTTGTGTTATCACTGCATCAGAAATAGTCTTGATTTTAAAAGATTAACAAGAAATAGTTTTCATGTTTATGCTGAAATCAAATGAAACCTGGATTTTCTTTTGTCTTTTCTAGCTCTGTACACCTCATGTTGTCAAGTATGGTGGAACTAAAAAAACAAAAACAAAAAACTATTGTCATATCATTTAAATATGCCAGATCTCTTGAAATAATTTAGAAACACATTTTAAATTTGAAAAAGATTAGTTCATTATAAATGTAAAAATATTAAAAGAAAAAATGGAATTTAATATCCTGAAATATATAGAGAATGTCTTTTCCTAATTGAGAAGTTAAGGGTACTGATTTTTTTCTTTTCTTTTTTTAGAATTGAGCCTCAAGAATATTTGAAAGCTTCGTTAAAAAAAGTTAAAAAAAACAAACTAAAAAAAACTTGATCCCTCATCTCACTTGACCTCACCTATTTTGTACTGTGCAAATATTTTTAGCAGGAATAATTAATGAAGAAACCACAAAAAACTCAAAAAAAAATGTTTTTTTTTTCCCGATTATCACTTTAATTGGAAATTGGGATAGCCCGTCTCCATTATTATTATTATTAATTAATATTAATACTGGCAGGAAATATGAAGAAAGAAAGTAGACGCTGTCTGGTGTGAAAGGGGAGAGAACTCAGTTTTTGCGTGTATGTGTGTTTATGTGTGTGTGCAGCGCTTACCACTGAAGTGTTCATTTGAATTGCAGGAAACACGGTTGGTTGTTGTCGTACAAGAGTTATTTCTTTTCCGACCCAAAATTTTTATTTTATTCCCTTTTAATATTCATGCATAATTTTTATTTTTTTTTTTTTTTTTAAAGAAATATATTAGGTCAGCTGATTCATCTTTTTTTTTTTTTTTTTTTTTCTTCCATTAAGATGTAAGCTTTACTTATTGAAATGCTCATTCAATTTAATTCTGAGGAATATGAATCAAATATTTCACTTAAAATTTCAATTTGATTAAAACCAATGTTTTTGTCTCTTCTAATCTTAAGTGAAATATTTGGCTCATGTTAAAACATTACTTGTGTTCCAAGAAACTCAGGGATTATCATTCTATCAGGAAATGATTTTTTTTTTCTACCATGGCTATATCTTAATGTCTTAGATCATTCAACACACATGAAAATGGTAATCTTTTTTTATTTTGTAACTTTTTGTTTTTTTTTTTTCCCTTCCTTAGTTATAGGTTGGTCTTAGCATAACAAAGTCTATTATACTTAAAAGTAATAATTAAAAGGGGCTTACAGTCACATCATGTTGAAACTGGTTCCTGTACGATCACCAGTTAAGCAACATCGAGCCTGGTCAGTGCTTAGATGGGTGACTGTTTGGGAATACCAGGTGTTGTAAGCTTGGATGTGCAGGTGGTGTAATGGATAATGGCTTTGAATTGTTAATTGGAAAGCTGAGTTCCAATTCCAGTTGGGTTCATTATAGTTACTTATATGCAAATACACTTCTCCCCCCAGTATGGGTTAAATGACTTGTATCACTAAAACCCTTATCTCAAAAAATAAAGTAAAATTGCATAGAAAATATTTTAGATTTTGGAATTAAATAACCCATAGAGGTGTTGATATGTTTCCAAAAAGAAACAAAAAAACAAAGTTAAAGAAATAGTGTTCAAATTTCTTATGTGAAGGATTATATTAATAATTATGTAATTTTTTGACTTGTATTTCTTATTCCTTTTTTTTTTTTTTTTTTTTGTATGATAATTTTCCTGTAATTATTCTCCAATGAAGTAAAACAGCTTAGATAATAAAAAAAAAAAATCTCCAGTGATAGTTGAATATTCATCTCTTCTTGGAATAATTGTCTTGCCATTCATGCTAAAGACAAAATACCCTAAGGAGAAAAGATGCCAGCTAATTTCATCAAATGCTTAATTTTTACTTCCAAGTTTAATGAACAAAGAAAAAATAACATCAGAACTGTGATGAAAGGCAACAGAAATAAGATGAAAGAAATAAGTCCAAATTTAATAATCAGAAAATAAATGCAATTGATAATAATTGCTGTTTATTTTTTAAATCTTTATAAATTCACAATTGTATATCTTAAAAATGGAATGCTACATGTTTTATGCTTAAATCCTGTATTATTTTAACTGTTCATATGCATGTATAACATTTTTGTATGTGTAATATATATAATCGTAAGTGAGAAGTAAAATAATACTTATTAACAAAGTTTCATCCAGAAGCGATCATCATGTTGGGGAACATGTATGACACTTTCAATCTATATCACAGGGCTTTCTATCCAAGTTAGGGTGCAATAAATTTGCATGTTCCTATTTATCTTGTATAGAGAACCTTATAATATGGATTGAAATGTACCATGGTATTCCCCCCCGCCACTTGATAATTATTTTTGGATTAAACTTTAGTAAGTGGACAAATACTTTGTGATTTTATTGCTGCTCTGCTCTTTAGCATTGAGCACTCTTATTAACTGCCACCTTTTTATTTATTTTTATTGATAGTGGTTATACACATCTTGAAGAATTTATTACCAATTATATATATATATATATATATATCTCCATCAGATTTGAGCACTCTGGCTGCTGGCCTAGTGTTTATATACATCATGTATATAATCCATTAAAATATTCTTTCTCTCTGCTGTGTGCTGATAGCTTAGGAGTACAGTCTCTGACTGATGCCAAATCAGCCAAGTTTCAATCTCAGCTTGAAGCAATTGGATGTCTAGCCACACTGATGAGTTGTCTGGAGATATATATGCACATGTTTTTAGCATAACTGTTTGTGTATGCTCTTAAAGAATGAATTGAATGTAATTCTTAAAAATATCTCATTGTTTGACTAATAAGCAGGGATTTGCTAATTACTTACAATCATTCTTTTGTTAAATTTCAGTTTTTAGCATTGAAATTCTTAGGGCTCTTAGTTTTCTTTTGTAACATGCTCTTGTGTCTACAGATTTGTGAATGTATATATGGTGTGATAGATTTGTGAATGTATATATGGTGTGATAGATTTGTGAATGTATATATGGTGTGATAGATTGTTATCAATGCCTAACAGTGTCCTTAATTGTCTCTAACTTGATCTCTAGGCTTATTGTGTTTGTTTGTCTGTCTGTGTGTGTGTGTGTTTTTAAGAGAGAAAGAAAGTTCTTCAATTCTCAGGTGATCTGAATTCTGTTGTCTGTTTGGTTTAAATGAAAATCTCTTGATCATTTATACAATGTGACATTATACAATGTGACATTATACAATGTGACATGTTGCACTTCTACATCATCATTATTGTTGCGATGTGTGTTGAATGTCACACTCTTTGTGTTACATTGACTTGTGACAATGTTTGTTGGCAACATGCCATCATGTGTATTGCGACACATTCTTATGATAATTATCTGGTACATGGTGTAAAATATAGTGTGACAATGGCAGGGCATGTTGTGTGATTTGTATTGAAGCTCTTTGTATTATTCATAAAGTGACATTGCAGTTTTCTGACCAAATAGGTCACTCTTACAGTTTACATTTTTCTGCAGTTGTATGTGTCTCTTGGTGGATATGGTTTATATTTGTGAATCAGATTTAAGTTTGTCAGACTAAAATTTGAAGCTATTTAATAAGACTAAAAACATAATTACATAAAAAAAATTAGATTTCATCAATAGTATTTTCTTATTGTTTTTTTCTTCTCACTCATTATCCCTCAATATTTAAAAAAAAACAAAAAACAAAATTACTCTTACCTCCCACATTACAATAGAAATAAAACAACTTGTACAGTGTAACTTTCGCATTCAGAATTTTTCAGTTTTATTTTATGTACTTATTCATAATTTTTATTTAGTCAACATTACCCCCTCCTTCCACTGCAACCCCCACCCTCATCTCCCATGCCTCTAACCCCCTGACCCTGATTTCTGGATTCTGAGAAGCAGATTTTCTACTAGCTACCCTTAATCTCCCTTGGAGTTGGGGCAAAACAAGAAGGAAAATGAAAGAGATGAGATCTTGAAGCCTGCTGCTTGGAATCTAAATAAAGGATTCTTTCTTTCTCCCTATCTCTCTCTCTAATTTATGCACTTTTCATTGGTGCAAGACGCTTTTTTGAAAGGGAAAAAAAACAAAACAACAACAAAAAAAAAAAAACTTTCATCAATGAAAAGTGTATGTGCATATATATATATATATATATATATATATATATATATATATATATATATAATTCAGAATAACCAATTGCTGTAT